AAACACATTATGACAAAAATCATACAATGTTAGTTGGCTTATTTTATTAACAGAGACTATACATTATTATCTGAGAGAATCACTGTGTAAAATTAACAATACAAATATTGCAAAACATTAAAAAAAGGATAAATGCACAACTAAGTTGTTCAGGTACAAATGAGTTTCCACTATATTATTAAATTGATTTTGGGGGGTTGGGTAAAAAAAAAAAGCAGACAATTTTTCCAAGAAATCATGAAAAAAATTTGTATAAAATGATCCCATGAATGAACTAATTAACCAATCGAAAAAATACATTACTATTTCTTTTGAGCTTTTATGTTTTTTTGGCGCCAAAAATTTTAATCAAGGTTTTAAAAATTAACATCTTGTCATTTCTTGCTGGTAGCTATTAATGTCACTTTTCTAATATTTACTATCCCATTAAGCACAGAGAAAAAAAAAAAACCTCCCTTATTTCTAGGCATAGGTATCAGCTGTACTGCCTGATGCTACAAACACTATCTCTTTTCCGCATCATCTATTTCTCATGGATAAGATCCAACAGTTCATGGCTACACTATATGTAGAAATTTCACAGAGCAGATATTGCCAGTCTCCATAAATATTATTTAGAGCAACGTAATAGAATTTGACAAGGCATATAGATGTATATAAAAAACAGGTTATTTTCTATAAAGAAATGTAAGGTGGCTTAAAAGATGTAAGTCTATTAATTTTACCAAATGTTCCTTCTCATTCTTCCAAGGCTGTGTGAATAATAAATTCTGTATGCAACATTTAAGCAGTTGGAATAAAGCAAAATCTGAGGATACGTCAGGGGAAAAAAAAAAAAGAGTAAACAATACTATATGATATAACCTGCTACATGTTGGTGTATGCAAGTTTAATTTACCTTAATTTTTGCAATAAGGGATGTTGAGGTTTTGGGGGGAGAAAATATTATCATAGTTTAATAATTCACTTAATTTGTAATTCACTTATTTTTTCATCAAGAGTTAAAATATTTTAAAGGATAAATATATGATTGTTTAGTGCAGTGGTTCTCAACCTTTTTAATGCCGCTACCCTTTAATACAGTGCCTCATGTTGTGGCGACCCCCAGCCACAAAATTATTTTTGTTGATACTTCATAAATTTAAGAGCATATATGTTTTCCGATGGTCTTAGGTGACCCCTCTGAAGGGTCGTTTGATCCCCAAACGGGTCGCAACCCACAGGTTGAGAACCGCTGGTCTAGTGTTTAATTTTCAAGCCTATTATTACCTTGTCCCCACAACTCATTTAAAAATTTTGCTATCTAGGGAATGAATATATGATATGATACTATGATATATTAGCAATTGATGGTTTATCTTTCTTACAGTATCAAGTTTACACAACTCTTCAAACTGAAACAGTGCAACAGGTTATACTTTTGACCAATGGTCTGATGTAAAGTTTAATCTACTGCGAAATATGACATTGGCTTTTCATATGTCATATAAATCCTGTGCTTTACTATATCCCTGAATAATTCACTTAGAACAAACATGTTACACTCAACCAGATATATATATATATATAAAAGAAGGTACATTTCTGAGGGGGGGGGGGGAAGGAGACAGCAAACAAAAATGTAGTTTTATTCCTTGTCAAAACATCTGGTATTTTTTAGAACAAACATGTTACACTCAACCAGATATATATATATATATATATATAAAAGAAGGTACATTTCTGAGGGGGGGGGGGGAAGGAGACAGCAAACAACAATGTAGTTTTATTCCTTGTCAAAACATCTGGTATTTTCTATAGTGTTATTCTGAATTTCCCAATTCTGTTGTTGATATATATATATATAGTGCTGTCTTTCTTCTTAAAATATTTGCAAAAAATTAGCTGTTGGAGCTTCTTTGAGGTATGAAAATGATCTATTTCGAAAAATCTTATTTTGTTTCATAACCAATGACAAATATCATTAATAATATGACGTAAATATTGTTATATACCATAAGAAACTGACATGAAAGAATTGCATATACATAGAGTACATTCAGGCTAATGAATAACATGGGGGAGACTGTGATTAAGTTATTCTAAGGAATAATGGAACACAAGTTAAGGGAAAACTTTTAAAAAGAGCCAAGACAGCTTCCAGCCATTCGATCTACACTCATTTTATTATTTTAATTGTTTGCTTAATAAGGCCTTTTTTCTGCCACAGTAAATGTTTTGCGTTGTCTTTTTTAATTTTTTACATGCCTTGCCATGTGCTCCTTATTTCCTACATTCAGCTTGGCAGTACAGTTTTAAATGTACCCTAATGTAAGTTGTTAATATATTAATACAGAAAGATTATTCAGTACTTGAAAAACAAAGTACTCTTCTAATTTCCCCTTTACACTTCTGATACATTTTCTTTTTTATGAGTATAGCTGGCAGCATATTGTTATCACAGTTTTCAAGAATATATTACCTTACGAATTCCACATAAACAGTTAATACGGTAGAATGTAAGCATGTCACTGATATAAATATTGCAAAGTTCCATAGATGACTGGTGATAATCAGAATAAATTAAGCAAAATAAACGTAATGCTGTAAGTGTAAAGTCATGGAATAACTACGACTTAGCCCATTAGCATTGAACAGTATTTGATTTGTCTGGAAACAAATTGTTCAGTTTATAAACTAGCCAGTGAACCAATTAATGAACAATGAAGTCTTGAAAAAATTTGTTTTCTTAACATTATAAATTTTAAGCTAAAAATTGGATTATTTTTGTGGTTATTATTAGATTTGCCCTGGCCGTACAGTCAAGTGTTTTCATAGGATCTTTTCTTTAACAACAGTCATCAGCTTCACTTAACTGCAAGAAATTTTCAGCCTTCAGTTTTTGTTTTTTCATTGAAAGATGATTAAAATTGACAAAAAATATTGCTTTAGTTTTTTTTAAAAAAATCATACACATAGGAAGATTTTATTTTTTACAATGCATCACTTCACTCATTAGGCAAAAAAACTTTTAACAAAACAAATTTTACCATTTTAAACCTTAAGGTAGACCTGCAATAAAATTTCTTTAAAAATGAATTTTCAATTACTGATTATAAAAACTTAGTTCCTCTTATGCGGATGAAATATTAGATAATGGGTCCACCACTTATAACAGTAAGGCAATGAGTGAAAAACACTCATGCTGTTATCAGCAATAGCTATATAAATATTTAAGAGGGAGAAGGCATAGAGATTATTATGACTTATCAAAATATATATATAATATAAACACCATAAACAGGAAAATTAGATACAATAAATATTTTGATTCAGTTTTGATATTTGAAAGAAAAAAAAAGTACACGCAATGGTCTCCTCTCATTAGGGGACATAAAAAATCTGGGCACGCCGCACACTTCTTTTTATATACACAAAGTGTATATGAATAATTAATTTTTTTAAATAGAAAAAAAATAGGGGGGCTTTACCGTATACTAATAGAGTTCTGGGCCCCTTGTCATTTTGTTTTTGGATTTGCACAAAGTAATGTAACAATGTATAAAAATAATGAAAAATGACATTTTAAAAAATAATTTCAATTCGACACAACCACTTATACAGAGCCATTATTATGAGATAATTTTCCCGAAAACTGTAAGTTCAGGCATGAGTTACTCACTGGCAGATTGCTGGCAATGAAAAGCTTTGCACAAACAAAAACGTAAAATATATGGAAAACTTATTGAATACTTTTTCAAAAAAATAAACATCATTACAAAATAAACTTTGTACCAGTAATAAACCAATCTTTGAATATAACATGTCAAAGAAGTAGAAAAGAAAAGATAGGAACAGAAATGCATAAAGTAGTTTTGTATCCTAAAAATGCTTTCGTTATTCTTCCAAGAAAACAAACCTAATAGCTTTGCATAAATTAAAAATTTTAATAAAAATTTGTATGTGAGCCTTTCATAAAAGTTTTTAAAGAATTAAAAAAAAAAATGTAAAAAAAACCAAGGTATAAGTTATGTCCCGAGATTATCTAGAGTAAATCTGAATTCAAAACTTAGAAACAACATTGAGCATGTATTCACAATAGTTCAATAGCTAGGTTCTTTGATTAAATGGAACAAGAAACTTGAGGGAGTANGGGGGGGAAAGCTAATCGAGCAATACAAAACAAAATCCCAGAAATAGGCAGAGCTTTTTCCTTGAAGTACAGATTGCTAAATAATGCACTGATAAAAAAAAATTATAATTGAGAGAAGCGATCAAATAAAGTCGGTAAAATCTTTTCAAAATGAGTAGACTAAGCAGCTAACATAGAGCAACAGTTTTGTAGCCCTGACTTGTCACCCCTCATCTACTGACCCTGTGGTGGCCTTGAAGTGCCAATTTATACAAGATATTAAAACCTGAGAGGGTATTTAAGTAAACCAGAAATATATTTCAATAATAATTAATCATAAAATGTTTTTTTTTTAAAAATCACATAATGATAATAATACGATTTACATTCATAAAAATACCATGTTCATCAAAAATAAATTGAAATTTAACATTAAAAAAAAACAAACAAAAAAAACAGGATTTCAACATTATAGGATTTCCAAAAGCTTCTGAACTCTTTGATGAAACAAAATAGAAAAAAAATCTCTTAAACTTGTTCTAATAAGACATGTCTTAAGTATTAGTAATGCTCTAAAAAATATAAATACTAACCAAGAAAAACAAACTGCAAAACAACATGTGCATGTTTAAAAAATAGCTTGCTCTGAAATAAACTTGTGTAGTTAGGAAAGTAGTTTTCATTTACTTAGAATATCTTAGCCTTCTCCCTTGACAGCATGCCACTACTGGTTTCTATATAAATAAATTATTGCATTACCCTGAAAAAAAAAATTCTTGAAAAGCCTATTAACTTTGATTTTAAGTGAGGCTGATAAACTATAAAAAAAATTTTTTTAACATATAAACATTTTATTTGCTAAAAAAAAAAAATAGATTACAATAGTAATGCGTGTAATTTTCATTCCTTGTAACATCAGGGCTTTCTATTTTATTTAAAATAAAAATAATCATGAACTTTTTCGGAAATTACATTCAAGGAATATTTGTTTCAAGTTGCTAATGTTTCTCACTGTTCTAGGTGATAGCAACAGATCATACGGAACAAAGTGAATGAAAGTCTTTCCTACACACCTTTGTGAAATTTGAGAAATAAAAAAAAAATTGTTTTGGTTAAAAAAAAGGAAACAAGGAACTAATGTATAGACAAGAAAAAAAAATTAATTTATTATCGCTCTATCCATTCGTCTGATCTTTGTATTCATGAGGGACTTGTGCCTACCCTTTTTCTTTCATTTTCATAAAGGGTAGGATAAAATTATATACATATGTTTATAAAAAATTTAGTTTACATTAGTGTTATTTTTTATCCTGTTGTACTGATAATGGCATTAGCCCAAACATTTAGATTTGTATTTTGTCTACAGATAATTTATGCCTACTTACACTGTTTTATTTACACACATTGTTTGTGTCTTGTTAATATTATTGGTCCTAGCACAACTTATCAATAAATGAAACATTGGAGTGAAATGGGGTTGAGTGTTACACCCAGTTTCAACAGTAATGCACTTCATGTCATTCACGCAACTCACAACTCTCCAGCAACAACCTTAAACGCACGTGCAGCGCCACCCAACAGATTTGAAACCTAGGATGCAGTCTGAGCCTGTCCTGGGTGCTCGAGCTGTACAGCTGAATGCAGGGGGTCAGTTTTAGCATGTCCACTCTTGGCTTTGCCTTTAGCAGCAGGAGATTGTTTTTGATGGCGGCCCGTCGGGCTACCCTGCGGCAAGGTGACTGGTCCACTGTTTTGGTGGGCCAGTAGCTGTGCTGGGTTTTGTTTCTCTTGGCCGACAGCAGGGGGGGCAATTGCTTTAGCAGATGTTTGATGTTCCACGCAGGAGACTGGATGTGTCCATGTGGTCGTCTGATTTAGGTGACTGAAATGATGTAAAAAAAAAAAATAAATATTGTAATGCTTAGGTAAGTTATATGAAAAAACTAAAAATTTAACCAAACCTGTCTTTCTTAGCTTCCAAAAAAAATAAATTGAAAAGACTGGGCTTTAATCAAGAGCAGATTGAGGATTTGGGTGGATTAAAACTTTGTTCAGGATTCTTCAAAGGTAGTTGGGGCTGATTGATATGATAATTATATATATATATATATATATATATATATATATAAATGAAAGTATATATATATATATATGAAAATATATATATATATATAAATGAAAGAGATAGAGATTTTTTTGAGGGGGGGGGGGTTGTTGTGTGTGATTATCACCACTGCCACCATTTACTCCACCCTTCTCAGCAAACGTATCAGGTCTTATTTTCTTACCCCATTTTCAACAGTTTAGCAGCTTTATGGAATATGCATTCCCCTTATATAAACTTTTAGAAAATATGTTTTATATTTTAGACAATACCTAAGCAATAAGAAAGAAAAAGGCCACCTGGAGAGACAGCAAAAGAAATTTGATTTTGAGATATTACAACTTTTTTTGAAAATGCCCCTTAAAACAGAATTTCATATTTTTGCTGATAAATTAAATTTCTTTAATTGTCTCATGCACAATGCTTAAAGGGAACACTGCACGGAATAAATGCTAAGAAAGCCAGTGACTAAGAGTAAAGGCATTTATTAATTTTTAAAAATAATTCAGTAGTGAATGTTCATGGTCAACTCACTTAATGAAATATTTGACCCCTTCTGCGGTGTAGGCTTCCTCCCAGCCAAACGGCAGTGCTGGAAAATAAAATATATCTATGGTCATAACATAATCATGTTTGATAGTGATAATGATCTGATAAGTGATGCTTTTTATAAAAGTTGATAAAATATTTTTTTTTTAAAAGAGAAGAAACTTACGAACTGATTCCATAAGGGACCTCACAGTTTTAATGACCTCTCTCCCTTCATTGGAGAGCAGAAGTAGCGCTCTTTTCTTATTGAGTTTAGTGTTGCCGTTTTCAGTCACTATTGGTACTCTGGTTTAAAAAAAATATACAAAAAAACCCCACATCATTATGTGCAATGTACCTAATTTTAAAATGGCTGTTACAATAATCTAAATTTAAGTTCAAAACCATCTTATGTTTGTGTTTATATAATTATAAATACACACACACATATATATTATAAACACAAACATAAAATGGTTTTGAACTAATATATATAGATGTAAATGCTGCACATTAGTTAGATTTAAAAAAATATAATCTAAATAAAATATGAACAAATTCCTATTTAAATGTTGAATCTGTAAGCACAAAAATGGCTTCCTTAAATTGTATTTAGGACGTTTATGTATTTCAGCCAACATATTTTTAAGATACTTTATGAATGGCATTTTTTGGGCTTTATTCAAAAAGATAATAATTTTAATCTAAGAAATTTCCTGTAACTCTGAATACCTTGCTGCAGCATCCAAAGATGCCAGGGTCTCTAAGGAGTGTTCCACATATCGCATCAGTTTGTCTGTGGCTACCTCATAGGTTTTCTTCCCAGACTCTGCTTTTTTCAACTGGCAGACAAGTACAGCCAGTCTCTTCTGCATGTTAACACCATCCTGTAGAGTGGATTGAGAAAAACATTGTGAGATACAAATGTGTAATTCGAATCAGTTGATTATATATGATATCATTATATTTTTTCTATTTATTGAAAAGAATGAACTAGAAGGTATAAGTGAAACTGACTTAGTAATATAAATGTGTGCTGGTTTTGTACATTCATCTTTGCAATTAAATGTCAAAGAAAGGAAAATGAAATTAAAACAAATTTCATTTTGTAAAATATATGTTATGGAATAACTCTGAGCCATGGAGATTACAAGTAAGCATTTCGTTAAAAAGAATGAAAAATTCCTAAAATCTCTGAGGCTCACTGATTTTGACATTTGGAGGCGCAGCTGGGAGACCTCATTTTCCAACATGGCCACAACTTCCTCATAATCCCTCTCAGTCTGCTGGGCTTTTGCCTGTGCCTGCTCTGCCAGATGAAGTTTGCTTTTGAGTGATCTACATTCTTCAATTGAAGTTTGTGCTTGCTGGAACAAAAATCATAGCTGTCAGGCTTGATGAAAATATTACAAATAAAACAAGCATAATCTCATCTCGTCACATTTGGCTTGATATAAAAAAAATGCTTTTTGCTCAGATTTATTTTGCCTTGGCATTTAAGATAAAAACCCAAAAGCTTATAGACTTTGTTCATGTGGTAGAAATAATGGAAGCCTTAAGTTCATTGTTTTTTTTTTAAATTACATTTGACAATTCTTTTATTTCATTATTTTCCAGCATAAACTTAAAAACTTAAAACTTTTTTTTTAGTTCGATACCTTTAAAATAAATAATACGGAAACAAAGTCTAGATCAAGAAAATAAAAGGCAGTTAATGGTAATGTCAGCATTTTCTGGCGTTGACGCTCCAGTGTGCAAACACCAAGGTCTGGGGATTTCATGACAACTGTAAAGGTTGGGGAACTAAAAAGACAGCCACAGGTAACACAGCAATAAAATTCTCCGTAAGATAATGAGATCATAGATATAAGAGGCATTTCTCTTAAAAGATCTAGCTCCTATTCAGAAAACTAATCTCCTCACCTTACGAATGAACAGCAGCTGCTCCTCAGCATTCTGGCCAGACTGGCTTCTGGTTCTCAGCTCTTCTTTCAAGGCAACAACTTCAGCTCTAAGCTGATCTCTTTCTTTCACAGCACTAACATAATCATCTGAAGGTTTTGAGTTCTGTGAATATAAAAAATAAAATAAAAAAAAAAACAACCCCAATAACATTATTTTATTAACCAGGGTGTTTTTTTTCTTTCTGGGTCTTCAATAAGTATTAAAAATAGATTATCCAAGCATAATCCAGTGGGAATGGACCAGCATAATCCTATCCCCTGCACCAGCTGTCACCATTTTAGTCGATAAATTAAAAATCGATTATGAAAAAAGGCAACTATGCATTGAATAAGTGACTGCGTTATGAAAGTGGAGTTGAAAAGAAAAAAAAAAACAACTCACCTGGTTGTTGTCATTTTGCAACTGAGGGGTTAATCTGCCTTTCAATGCCCCAAGATCATTTTGATAAACAATTTTGGCTGCTTCCACAAATTCTGAGGATAAGTAAATAAACATTAAAAAATATCTGGATGTTAATTGAATATCAATAATTTAAAAAAAAAATCAATTTTTGTAATTTGAGGAAAACAAGATTAATTTAATAAAGGATTAATTCAAGTATTTTTTTCCTCAAAATTACCTTCAAAATCATAGGTACAAACAACTTGCAATTTTTTTTATTATTTCCCCTATAACAATATTCCTTTGCCTTGCAAGTGGATTTTTTAGGGTTGTATAGAGTATAATAATATTCTTTTAAAAACTTATAAACAGATGCCATGTATTTAAAAAAAAATATGTTTCAATAAAAAAGAAACAGTTTTCACATGAAGATTTGCACAGCTGGTACTCACCTTCAAAACGCACCATACCATTGTGGTCAATGTTCAGGCGCTGCCTCAGGGAGATTTGAGCAGACTGTGTAAGGTGAAGGCCTAGGTTTGTTAGGGCCTGTTCAAACAAAACATTCAAAGCAAAAGATACATTAGGAAATCTTTCAATAGTGCTTTTTAAACAAAGTTGGGTTTAATTTTTTTCTTCTTTTTTTTTTCAAAAACAACAATAAAGAAAGCCAACATTATGTGTAAAGGCATCAAGAAAAGTTTCAGATTTATGTAAAGTTATTTAGCAATTAATTTTTTTTTCAATTTCATAACTGTAGCTTCACTCAAATGGATTTAAAAATTGAAATGAAGCTAGATGTGTTTACATTAAAATTATAAAGAACAACTTTAAAAAACTACTCTACCAATAAAATCATTAACATCAAAAATTCTAGTCACAACTAGACATTTTTTTTTGGATAACCTACAGATTCTAACTGATCTATGTGCAATTTGAGCCCAGGGTCTTGTGATAGCTTTTTAGAAAGCAACGAGTCCAGGTGGTCAGAGGGCGTTTCTTTGCTATGTGACACCCCACTACCATTACTGAGGGGCCTTCCAGTTGCAGGCTCTCCCATGTGGTTGGCTACTTCACTTGCACAGCTGGATGATGGGCTGATGTGACCATTGTGGTCCCTGTAGCTTTCTATAGAGAAGTTAATGATGTAAAGGTTCAACAAGATAAAAAGCAATAGTGCCAAAACCAAAACAAGCAGTGGGAAAATCTGCAAGTCTCTTTCCTTGAATGTACATAATGCAAATAGTGTGTATAACTGATTGTCTTTTAAATGGATGTATACACACACAAACACAAAAAATCACAATAAAATATAAAAGTTAGATTACAGTATCTTTAAATTCATAATACATTTTATTTCTCACTAACTAATATATTTCTGGATATTCACGTTATAGCAACTTTTCCTTTAATGTACAACTTTTCTCTGTATCTAGCATTTGCAGTTTTAACTTAATACAAATATCACAAATTGAAATCAGATTTTTAAAAAACACACATGAACATTCAGCTTTTAATATCTTGTCTATGTAAAATATATTTTTAAAAAAAGCACATTACTCATTTGAAATCAAATTTTTAAAAAACCACCAGAAAATATTTGGTAAATTTAAACAACAACCCTTAACCCCACCCCCACCCCGCAACTAACAACTCTGTCTACAGACTATACAATGTAACAAACACATTCTTCTCATTAAGTTAACTGAACAATGAGAGAATCGAAAAGGCCATCTAATTATGTGCTTATCAAACATTAAATAAGCATTGTGTGGACAATAACATGGTCTCATAAATGAAAGTAAGCAAATTTTATTGTTTTATTCATAGAGCCATTTTTTAAGATCAGATTGTTTTTAGTTTTTACTATTTATATATTATATCGGTATTATACCAGGCACAAACAAAATAAATGATAGGAAATTTCAATACTAACCTGTGTACTTAAATTCCTGTTGGTCACTCGAAATATCCAAATCTGGGTGAACATCCTTAATAGTGATAAAATAAATGAAGGCAGTTATTAGAGTTTGACATTTTGCATGGCTGATGCTAAAGATGTGTGAGTCATGTGCCTCCTCCAGCTGTGTAAGTCATGTGACCAGGTGTCTTCTCCCACTGTGTGAGTAATGTGACCAGATGTCTGCTTAGCCTTGTGTGGCCATTGGACCATGCATGGCGGCACACTGAGCGGCCGCTATCATGTGACACACATTGATTACACTCAGTAGCTATGTACACCTGAGGCTAGCAGGCTACTAAAAAAAAACTTCCATGGGTCAATAGTCCCCAATGTATAGTAGATGGCACAACAGCAATTTACTGAAGCTGTAGTTCAGGTAGGTTGGCTATTAATTTTGTGTTTGTATATTGTGGGGAAAACTTTATGTTTCTTTACTGATGTGATAGCTGGCCAGAGAATGAAAACTTTAAAGGCAGCAATCAACATATAAGTATTAAATTTATAAACAGGGTTAACTATTGTTAAAAACATTACTTCAGTGGCTGCCATCACTTTTGTAAATCTGAAAAATGAGTGAAAGTAAAACAAGCACATTTCTGTTACATGCACATTATTATCCCAGCAGATGGAGTAATTTCATTATACATCATACGTTAATACGTTATACATTTTACATTTTTAAAAACAGTTTCATATAAATAAGCAAGGGACTTAAAAATAATTTACAATTAATATAAGTATGTTTGATATAAAAGAAAATGCAATTTATAAATGCACTAATTTTTATCTAGATTTATTTTAAACATTTCATTCATAAATTCATGAGAAGTTTATTTAATAAAAAAATAATATTAAAAAATATTAAACGAATGTTTACCTTATGATATGGCCCGTATTTCAAAAGAAATTCTGTTTCGGAATCTGGAAGATTAAGAAGCAACTTATCTTATTAGACTTTATTATTTCTAGTTCTAGGGAAACTAACCACACAAAAATCCAACCAAATTACATGCTGTTTCATAATTACTTAAAAAAGATAATTTAAGTGGTACTTAACGAATGCACAACATTTACAAATATGTTTTAAAATTAAACATGTTATTATAGGAAAGGCAAATAGCTTTGATCACGATTCATGCATTTCCTTCGCAAAAACTATTGAAACTAGGTTTGACAGGCTATTTGTTTTGGTTGGCAGATCAATATTCACAGTTACTTATTGAGAAACTAATTTGTATTAGCATGTATTCCTTGACAAACATTTACAGACCAATATTACCCTCAAACCCTTAAAATTGTACAATATCATAACGAAATCATTCACTACATTATCTAAATAGTAAAAAAAATAAACATACAGTATATATACTGAATACACCTCAAAATCGTGCATTGTACGCCAAAATCGTAAGAGTAAACAGGTCTGCATTTAGCTCTCTTATTGCTTAACTTTATTAAAAATTATATAGTTTTTCCGATACTTATTGCACAATCGTGATTATTAACCATCTTTCAATAAACTCTTGTCCCAACCTCTCTGGCTTATCAAATGAATGTTAATCCAACATGATATTGAAAGCAATGTTTAACAAAGAATTACTGTTACAATTATCCTCAAATCTAAAGTTATTACTCTCGTCCTCATTATCACTAAAAATGGAAATGAAATCAATGAAATCTACCAGTGACTGGCCCTCCATAGGTCTGATCTCCCACAGTGTATGGGCTTGGATTGGAAGCAAATCTGGTCATATACTCGGCAAACTCACGTCTGAAAAATATTTTTTTATTTTTAATTCCGACATCTTAATAATTTTACTTTTAAAAAAAAGGCGTACAACAAAACTTACTTCAAAATCAATAAATGTTTTAAAAAAATTAATGTTACAGTAAAATTACTTAAATTCTTTGGTCTGTAAAAAAAAAAAAAAATGCATTGCAAACACATGTTGCCAGATCAATAAACAACCATAGAAAAATTGATGTTGGCAGATATGCTGATGATAAGCTTGTGGGTTGGAAAAATGAGCAGCATACCTTGCATCACCATCTCTTGTGATCACCATGTTGACATGGTTGGAGGCTGAAGCTTGGCGGAGCATGGACACAGCCCTATCAACAAAATAGTTATATCAATGCCTCTTAAAAAAAAACCCTCAAACGTAGGCCTAACATCTGGTTATATTCTTGTGCGAATTTCAAAGAAGTGGTGATAAATTTTTAAAAAAATAACGTAAGATATGGCAGAAACATAAAATAAAAAAATAAAAAAATGACATGCTCAGTTAAAATTTGAAATTATTTTTACAATCTAATTCATTTATGTACCTCCCGTATGTTACGCCTTGCAGGCTTTGCCCATTCACCTCAAGGATTAAATCACCATCAAATAATTCCCCTGTATCAGAAAGAAACAAAAAGAGAATGATACTCAAGGATGACACTAACCCTTTACACTGAACATTGTCCCTTTGGTCTTTCATTGGTTTTAGTTAATAATATGTTTTTTAACTTTGTGAATTTCTTTAATGTTTTGTCTCGGCACACATACATTACTATTGGCATTGTAATCTTTTTTTTTCTTCTTCATTATTTTAAGAATTTTCCAATATTAAGTTCAAGCTATGTAATCCGGATAAGGGAACATTTCAGGACTCCAAATGTATATTTGTTAACACTGAACTGAAATATAGCTACACAAATGTAGACCTGTTGTCTCGGCAAGCCCTCCAGGCAATACATGCTTTACAAAAATTCCATATTCCTCTTTTCCATCTTCACTGCAGCCTCCACAGATTTTTAGCCCTGCAAATGGAGTTTTTGTACAAGTAAAGATGAAATGACTCCAAGAATATCAATTATTTTAAGAATGATTGTAATGGTAATAGTTATCTTTTTTTGGTCTTTTTTGGGGAAATTTCTAAATGAGAATTTTAAAAAATTAACTGAATTTTAAAGCTGTTATGTCACTAAGGATTACTTTTTGCTCTTGTGCATTGTAGATGACAGGATTGTATACATACAGGAATAGTTTTATTTTGTTAGCTCTTGTTTGTTGGTAATTCTTTTTTATTGATTTGCAATACACACAGTTTGATTTTGTACAATATTTTCAGCTACAACACCTCTGAAGATCAAGATTTAAGCAACTAATATCTGTTAGACTCAAAATCAAGTTGTATTTCTGGAGAAGCATGTCCATACAATCAGAATATTTTTCTCTATGGATACATTCTCCCTTAGTTATGACCTTCCCAAGGTGGGTACAGATTCAGTATGAATGTCCTTTGTGCACCTGGCTGTGCTTAACAAAATTTAACTGGAAAGACCAGGTTTAGAGCCCCTGATCAGATAAATGATGATCCTTAACAGAAATAATAAAAAGATCTTACCTAAGCCTTGAGTGGTATTATGAAATTCTATTAGCTCCGCCTCCCTTGCATCCTCATCCTCCTCTGTATGATGAAGCCTAAAAAGAAATGGTAGAAAGACAGTATGAGAGCATTAATTTAATTAAGGTGACCATTCGTACTGTTTTTACTAGGACAGTGCTGATTTTATGAGGACCGTACGGTTTTTGGACCCTTTTATTGGCATATCTTGGTGAGCTGAAACCAGTACGCTTTAAGACTTCAAAATTTAATTTATCAAGATTCAGTGCATCTGATATCAGGCATATAAAATAAATGGCACAACTAAAAGAAATATATTTAATCTAAATTGGCGGACGATAATATTTTTGTCAAAATAACGCCTCACTGACTAAAGACTTCTTTGTGTAATCACAAATATTTTTATTTTTTTTGTTGTTGTACACTCATAGCAGTGAAATGACCAAAGAGTGTCTTCAATAATGTGTTAGCCTCCCTGACAGAAGAGCTCTCCCTGTAAATCACAATTTAACAAAAACTTTTGGACACCCATGGCCCAAAACAATTTTAAATGTCCTGGTTTTAAATTTGAAAATTTTGACATAGTTTTTCAGTTTAAATTGAATACATCAGTGCTACAGTATACCTTGATTCATATGTTAAATAAAAATTTAAAAAAAAAAGGGAATTTTGAAATGTATACAAATGTTGAATGTGGTACTTAAAATGTGTTTCAAAGACTGAGTTTTACTTAACCTTTTAAAAAGTAATCTCTTTGTAAAATATCAGTGAAACAACTGCTTACAACGTTATTTACGGGGTGCTAACAAAAAGTTAAATATATATTTACCGTAATTCTTCAAGCTGCACGTCCTTCATGGAGTGTGATTCTGCCAAGGTCAGTGTCACTGACATCACTGTGGCTAAACAAAGCATATTCAAAATATTTCACAATAAGTCTTGGTCAGAAAGAAATAATATAATTTAACCTAAGAACCCTGTGAATGGACCGAATTATGATAAAGTTTTATGTACAGCTTTTAGCAAAAATTTCATCAGGAATGATTGTATATGTCAATTACAATGTTTAATTTCTCAGGTCTATTCAATGATTTAAAAAAATCACTTTAGAAAAAATACAACTAGTTTTTAAGTTACATTTATAATTTAATTGGCACAGACTGCTCTATTTAATATGAAGCTCAGTATATAGTAAAAAAAGAACAGAAATTAGGCCTATCACAATTCTATTTACTATTTTAAAGAATACTTGATGAAAGTGCAAAAGCATCCTCTTGGGTCTGGGAGAGCTTTTAATACTCAGTACATAACTTAGTTTAGTGTTGTCAGTGTCAAATTTCAGCACAGTCAACCAATGCTTTTTATGTCATCTCTGGTATGGTAAAAATTCTTATTTTTTTTATATAATCTTGGAAAAGAAATAATCTGAAATGTTTGACAAACCTGCCATTTTAATCTTTAACAAGAGTTAAAGGAATGATGCTGCATGATAAGTAAAAAGTTAAAGGTATGATTTTAAAGAATATGTCAAAGTTTACCAAAGGATAAACTTGTGTCGGCTAGGAATAAAACTAGATTAATGAGACAAACAATTTTTGTAAAGAAAACAATATATGTTAAGCTTAAATTAGAAATAGATGAAATACAAATTCAAATGTTTCGGCTAATGCCTTCATCAGTACAACAAAAACCTTAATATAACTATAAATAAATTTACATAATATATGCCTAAAAAATGAAAGAAAAGAATACCAACGGTCACAAAACCCTTAAGAAAACAAAGATAAGAAGAATGGAAGAAATTGCTTGGAAGTACAATATAAAAACCAAACAGTCAAAATTCATTGCAGCTATGTAAAATTGTAAATTTGTTTTAGTCTATACCATTTGGAGTAAATATACACAATCTTTTAATTAATTTTTTGTCTATATAAATTCTATCAGGTGTATTACTTGCACACAATATACCAGTAACTGCACTGTCATATTTTCCATTATGGTTAGCACTGTTGAAATGTTTAGAAATGGGACAAAGGCGGGGGTCAAAGGGTTTGTTTATTGTAATTCATGTCCAAAAGGTTTCTCTAAAAAAGTCTCCGGGGCAACGATCTGTCTCCCCTAAGTATGATTTTCTGCACTTTTTACAAAGGAATGTGTTAATCATATTCACATTGCAACTTGTGCAAGCAAAACCATCTTTATTCTGAATATTTTCAGGGGGAAAGTGATCAAATCAACTTCAATCACATAGGGCTGACATGTGTTACAGTGGATATGTTTGCAGCTTTTGGTAACTTCATCATGCCAGGGAGTTTACTTCTAACAAACATGTCCCTCAGGCACTTGTCACTCCGGAAAGCTCAAAGAGGTTTTTTTGTGTGAAAATCTGATTGGTGATAATGTCTGCCAGAAGGATGGAAAGATAATTAAGATAATGAATGAGCCATAAGGTTGACATAAGATTATGGGGATGAAAAGTTTTAATGAATTTATAACTATCGTCATTGTCACAATGGAGCGACTCGAAACAAATCTCAAATCCGGTCTGGTTATATAGTTCATACCTTTAATTAGAGTGACAGGGTATAATCTACATCAGGAAAAATTCAAAATTTTTATTAATACTACCACTGACACTGAGAGTAATGTCATGATTCAACCGCCATTGACAAAAGTAAAAACCATTTCATTAATGTCATTAAAAAAATTAGACCTAGTGACCAGTGATTAGGGCTATTAGGATACATCTACTACTACCAGTCACTAATACTAATAGTAATATCAAGGCATTCAAGCCCAGGCTAATATTAAATATTAGTATTAGTAGTATTAGGCATAATGATAATAATTAGGCCTAGTTTGAAGCTTAAACTTAAATGATAAATGTCTTCTTAGTTTAGACTTAATTATGAGTTCAGTCTTAAGGCAATTAAAGCTGGTTTGGGGGGGGGGGGTGAGAGAGTTAGAGATAAAATAAAATTGCACCTCTACCAGTCTGACTCTAAGAGTGGGCATTAGGAAGGCCAAAACCTTGCAATTAAAGCTGGTTTGGGGGGGGGGGGTGAGAGAGTTAGAGATCAAATAAAATTGCACCTCTATCAGTCTGACTCTAAGAGTGGGCATTAGGTAGGCCAAAACCTGAACAGGCACACTGCTGCTCAGGTAGAGTAGACTCAACAAATACTTCAACTTCAAGCAGTCGTAGAGAAGAGAAAGTTCAGAGAAAGAGGTAAAAAAAAAAAGACACTGTCACGGCTCAAGAATATAAAAAAAAATTGACAAATCAATTAATCAACCTCCATTAATAAGATGGGAACATACATGTAACAGTTTAAACTGGCAATTGCATTATAAGTAAATGCATGCTAATTCTTCAAATATTCAAATGCCTTCTTCTGACTTTTCCAGCCAACTTTCTAACTCGATCGAATCGACTGACAATATACTGGTTTGTTGACGGAAGTTAAATGACGTCATGTTATGTTCCCAGAATTCTACAATTGGATCCGCCATTAATGCTGCCTTGGAAGTTCCGAAACGAACCTTTCTTGATAAAATACAATGTGTTGTGACTATTAATTTACAATTAGTTTGGCTTAACGAAGGTTCCATAGTGTGTTATTTTAAACAAAATGGTATTCAATATGGAGCTTTGAACGTTAATCGCTGTGTCTGAGGTGAGAAGATTACGTATCCTCACATTCACAAACAACAAGCAAATAATTTCAGTTTGAGATTGATCACTGCCATTATTTGAGACCTATTCTAAATTAGGCCTATTCGTGTCAAAAATAATGAGCAAGTGACTTTTGGAATGGTAGGTAGGACACCCGTATTCTTCATTTTTTCCACCATGGAAACATAAAACATTTAAATTTAATTTTAACTGGATGTGAGTGTGAGTTCAGTAAGTAGGCCTGCCTCGCTCTACACTACTTCACTGTATGTAATCTACTTTAAGAATTCTAATCTACTAAATACTAAAAAATAATGTCTAAAATTAAAATGATTAGTCTTAAACTCTAACTACTAACAACAACTAACAAACCGTTAACATTAACTAACCAACTTAGACCTACTTGAGACTTAATACAACTTAATTTTTTACTTATCGACACACTACTCAACTCTGTACAAGTCAGTCAAGTCTTCTACTCATCTTCAAGTTCTTGTATTGTATATATAGTTTAGACTAACTAACCTATTAACTCTAATAAAGCCCTTGTCAATCATTTTCATTGTCCTTCCTAGGCCTATTCTTATTTCTAAAAGGCTGCGACTATTCGCACCTGGGTACCATAAGTGAGAGGTTGGGATTAAAAAACTATTAAAAATATTATTATTGGGTTTGTAAGACAAAATAAAAGATAATTGAATGGACTATATGTTTGTAAACTTAATTCTTCAGTTTAACCAAAAATAACTACCACAAATGACATCCAAATAGCATTAAGTCAAAATGGCCCCGGATACGCATCACCACTCATTGGGTTCCATGAGACCAATGCTATTCGGATGTTTTTTAATCCCAACCTCTCACTTCTGGTACCTAAGTGAGAATAGCCACTTCGTTTCTAAAATATACTATGCTTAACCCTGGACTCTAGACTAAAATTTACAAAACTGGCCTAATATTAATAGTAGGCTAATTAATTTAAACGGGAACTATTATTATCATGTGTTCTCCTGCTAAAGTAAATGGTAATTGTCCAGCTTAGGTGCCCAAATTCACAACTTGTAATTAATGAACATTATTATAAACAGTAAGAAAGTCAACACTAATAATTGTGAGCAACTGTAGCCAAGAAATGGCAGAACATGTCATCATTCTTGAGCTTGTTCTGAAAGATAAATTCATAGTTGACCACAATCAATAGCCTGCCCATTATCATAGAGTCTGCTTATCTGATCAGGATTGTTATTCATACACACCTCAAACTCCTCTCACATGAAGTTACACAAGTCTTACAGTGGTTTTGCAGATGTCAATGTCAGCCTCATGTATTATAAGTGCCTCAAGAAGTTTTTTTTTCTGGCATCATTGTGACATAGACTTGACAGAATGAAATTACAAGGCCTGTGATTTTTCTTTAGGATAAGCTGGTTCCCTCGACAGAAAATCGTAATTCTCCACGCATGTGGCTAACCCAAGGGAACAGCATACGTGGATGATACAGCTTGGCACCAGTAGGAGTTGCCAGAATTTTTCATTGTGTTGGTGTCAAACTGCCTACGGAATTCCATCTCTAGGTTTGAATTCAGAGCTTTCTTTCTCTTAGATGAGTTGTCATCCAAGGTTAGTCGGTCCTATTCACCCTGGGTGCTGGTGATGTTTTTGCTTGTTTGGGTCTTTGGTCTCCAAACCACAAGCCTGGGATTGACTCAGTTTAGACCGCTCGGCCACCCAGCAGGAAACCATCAATATTATCTGCTTGAGTGACAGCTGGCTGCAGCTGAAGAAAGAACCGTATCTTATAGACTTTTGGAAATTGCAGTCACCGGTCTGGCATCTCTAACTGTCTGCGCTGCTGCCATGGGCATTTAGGAGGAAGGACTATTTGCAAGCAGCACAGGTGAATGTGTTAGCAATTAATCCATGTTCAGCATATGGAAACTTCTGTATCAGATATTTCCGACAATAGCAACTGGTTGTACCTGTCATTTTGCTGATTCGGACAACTGCTTTAAAATTGTCAGTGGTTGTCGAATCATGGAGTCTTTTGGCAATTTATACGTCAAAATTAATTGATTAAAGTAAAAATTAAATTTTACATTCCAACTAGACAACCAGAAGTTCCACAATGTTCAATACATATCGCACATTTGAATTTGGGCACCTGAACTGGACAATTACCGAGTAAATTGTAGGCTTAGTCTGATCTCATGTAAGGGGTTTAGTTAGCAGAACTGCTAGCAATGTCTTTCACTGTTATAGGTCATGGAGATTACCCAGGTTTATTTTTGGCTATAATTCCATATAACAGATTTAGATTTTGAGCTTTGTACTTATTTGATACAAGATTCGATTGCCCCACAACACTTTCAGTTTAAAAAATTTCTGTCAAGAAAGTTGGCAAGGGGGACTCCTCTCCCTAGAAAATTATGTTGAAAATTACAGATAGTGCCATGAAAAATTAAGAAATTGTTGAAATGAATGGCAAATAAGCAAATACAACTGTTATTTGTTAACCAATCAAAAGACAGCATTTTAGCCAGCACACTACTTTGTGGTTGTTATCAGTAAGGATGAATATCTTTTTCTTCTATTGTATGTTGATGTACGGAAAATTATTTGGTATAAGATTTAGGTTATGACATGAATAATGCTCCGTGATGGAGAGGAAAGTTATCATACACATCGTTCAGGTCCAACTTATTATTGCCCTTTGGTCTATTGCTTGGATCTCTCTAAGTGACCTCACTGCGCTTAGGGTGAGTCAATTCTTGTCCAAATCAATCCCGCTAAGTAAATCTTTACCATTGCCCTGATCTCATAATGATAGTGCTTATACTGAATGTCATGTCTAATTTAGTTTATCAACTAAGAGATGGTCTATATTCTACAACTTGCCCATATGTCAGTATTACTAGTAAAAAGAAATAGAAGTTAACTGTAAAAAAGAAAAGAAAAGCCATTAATGGTCAGAATAGGGTTTCTGGCATCCGTCAATCACAATGTGACGATGGTGTAGACTTTGCAGGACGAATAGGGTTAGGGCCTCATTGAAACTACTAGGCTAAGCATAATTGGACCCACAATTAGAGCAAGGATAAAAACATAGGGCACTATGGCTATAATAGGCCCTAAATGGATTAATTTAGGCCACTTGATGTGCATCATTTCAGATTTCAGTTCCTTGATCAAATTTGTATGCCACACTTTTCCTACATAATAATTACATACAGTATCATTAACTTTGGTAAATCTGCCATGAAGGATACAACACATTTTGGTAAATTGGGATTATATGGTACACTTGGTAAACATTCACTAAATCAGTTTCTGTGTTGCCATTTATCATGTTTGGAGACCGTGCATCTCTGTTCAGTTAAATACAGAAGAGATTTCTGTACCTTCTAACAGTCACACATTTAATAGCTGCACATAGTAGACGTACACTTACTGAGGCTACATTTTAATCTTAGACCTAGGTCAGCAGTATGCCAAGCCTATTCTTTTTTATCATTTCTTAGACCTATATGTATAATATGTTTATGTAATTTGATTATTATATAATCTGATTATTACAGAATTGATTAAAATTCTAACCACTCGACTTCATATTCAGTAAATCCAAGTCTGTGGAAAAAGACTGCAAGAATTTCAGCTTGACTGCTTATTCAATGAATAATACTGTCAGTTTCAAAACCATGAATAGACAACTCCTTGACTGTTTATTCAATGATTTATACTGTCAGTGTCTAAACCATAAATAGACAACTCCTTGACCGTTTATTCAATGAACTCATAATGTCAGTTTCAAAACCATAAATATACCACTTTACTAACAGCTTGTTCAATGTATCATGTCAGTGTCAAAACCATAAATAAACCACTTTTTGAATGCCCATTACTTTTTAAGTTACAAATATAACTAAGTCACCCTGCTGCATCTTGGTACTGAATGGGTACAAAATGCTTAATGAAAAACTCTCTTCTGACATTCTGGTATGTTAATAAGATTTATATCACCTGCATATCTTGGTCTCTTTTATTTCTTATCTTTTACTGTCTACAGACAAGGCTTTTAAGAATGATTTTTTAAACATATTTTTAATAGTATCTAAACCAGGCCAGCACAACATATGGCACGCTGGCCGCATGCTGCCCGCGAAGTAACGAAATATTCTTTATTCTTATTATTTTCTTAATTAGCCCCCCCCCCCCCAATCCTATTTTCTTTTGGCCCGCACTCCAGGCCAGCACAACATATGGCACGCTGGCCGCATGCTGCCCGCGAAGTAACGAAATATTCTTTATTCTTATTATTTTCTTAATTAGCCCCCCCCCCCCAATCCTATTTTCTTTTGGCCCGCACAAATTATTACGGCCCGACTTACATCAGGTCTGATCTAAACAATTTCTATCTCTGTCACCAAATTTGTTTGCCCGATTGTATTGAATTTATCCAATGTTAATTTTAGCTGTTACTTCTGATTTCCCACAGTGTAAAAGTGTTTTGAATTAAACAAAGATGGGAACAAGACACATACCAAGTGACAAGGTGCGTATGAAATATTTTTTCAAAACATTTGTTAAAACTACAATCTTTTTAGCATTTTTGGTGTTGAAAGTTATTTTTGTTTGCATTTTTTAAAAAAAAATATTTATTTTGTAAGGTTGAGCTTAAACTCTTATAAACTTGGTCAGCCTCATCAAGTGGGTGTCACTATAAATTAATCGATTAACTCAGGTTTCCTGGATTAACCCATCAAAACCAGCTTCGGTATTGGGACAC